TGTGTGTGTGTATGTGTGTGTGTATGTGTATTTAAGTATTTCAGGTGTGTCCAAGTTCTGCAACCAGAGATCTGGTTTCAACTCCTGGTCTTTTCCAGTGTTGTGACCTTGGACAAGTTACTCAACATCTCTAAGCCTCCATTCTCTCAGCTATAAAAGAGTGCCAACCTAATGGAGCTGTGAGGAGGATTAAATGAAATAACTCATGCTTGGCCATTGTGCCCAGAACATAGTTAAGTGCTCAAATATTATTCTGTTGAAGCAGCTGTTACTGTTCTGGGACTCAGATTTGGAGCTAAGATTTCTGAGTAAGAAAGTGACACAGCCAGGTGCAGTAGCACACACCTTCCAATCCCAGCCACGAAAGAGCCTGAGGCAGAAAGATTGCAAGTTCAAGGCCAGCCTTACAACTTAGTGAGACCCTTTCTCACTAGCTCAGTGGTTAAGTATCCCTGAAGGAAGGAATTAAGGAAGAGGAGGGGAGGAAGGGAAGGAAGAAAGGGAAGGAAAGAAAGAAAGGAAGGAAAAAAGAAAGGACCGACTACTTCCAGTGCTGGGGGTTAGACCCATCCTTTACCCAGGGTGGGATTGAGAGGAATCAGAGTCAGGTTCAAAGGGAGATGGGGTCATGGTATTGGCGCCCACCCCTGGCTACTCTCATTTTCTAATGCAGTTCTGTCTATTCTAGGAGGGTGTAGATATAGCCAGGGCATGGCTCAGGAGGCTGAGGCAGGAGGATTAAGAGTGTAAAGCCAGCCTCAGCAAAATCAAGGCACTAAGCAACCCAATGACACCCTGGCTCTAAATAAAATACAAAATAGGGCTGGGAATGTAGCTCAGTGGTCAAGTGTCCCTGAGTCCAACCCATCCCCCCCCAAAAAAAAAGAGGATGCAGATATTCTGCATCTGTGCGGACAGTATGGAACAAGGAACTAGTTAGCACTTACAATGTGGCTAGTGTGAATGGGGACCTGAATTTTTTACTTTATTTAATTTTAATTAATTTAAAATTAACAGCTACATGTGGCTGATAGCTACAGTGTTAGATAGTGTAGAACTAAACATATGTGTGTTGAGGATAAGAATAAATTAGGACAAAAAATAAAATATTCTAGCCAAGGATTTTCCCTCTGAATATGTCATTTGAGCCTCAAAAAATAGTTCCAAAGAAATATAACAGGTATTGAAGACCCATTTTATAGATTAGGAAGATCACACCAGATCGCAATGAGTGTTAGAGGGACAGCCAAGATCTTTTCTCATCTATCTGCAGGAAAATTTCTCTCTCCATTGGACCATCTCATATCAGCCCTCCAGCTCTTCAGGTCTCTGAGCAGGCTCTCTCAGTCCCCTGGCCAGGGCCCAGGTTCCCTATCTCCTCAGTCCTCCCCAGTGCTACTCACCTGGAAGAGTTCCTGAACCTGAGCATCCACCCATTGCTCCATATCCAACCAGCGCTGGAGCTGCACCCGGTCGTATTTCACTGTCAGTCGGCTGGGTCTCCTGGACCTGGATATCTTAGAGGGGTCTGTGTCTGAGGATGATGTCCTCCTCCTTTTCTCAGAAGTCCACTGGACCTTCTTACTTGGGTTCTCCTTGTCTGGGTTGGGAGATGTACAGGAAGCATGGCTTGAAGACAGCATGGAAGGACAGACCTGGGCAAGGAGCTGAGAAAAAATGCCAGTCAGACCAAGAGCACAGAGGGAAATGAGGAGACAGAATGGAGGGAGAGGCCAGCGGGAAGGCAGAAGAGAGGAGGGCCAAGGGCCCTGGGAGTGGTGAAGGTCAAAGATCAACAGGCCTTTGGTGCTGGGAATGCCAGTCTCCTGGCTCCTTACTGCCAGTAAGTGGCACTCCAGAGCTGTGCCCCAGTTTCACTTTCTGTAGCTGCTGAGGCCCACAGTATCATAAACTATAGACAGGCAGAAGTCCAGAGGCCGCCATTCCCCAGGAGGAGGAAAGAAGGGACCTTGGATCCTGAGAGGTGAGGGGACACAATGGGTGCCCTTTGGGGAGCTCTTGAACACCTGAGTCACCCACCTGAGAGCCCTCTGCATCCCACCTTCTTGGTACAAACTCCACTCTGGGCCCCCAGGCAGCTATAATCAGTTCCAACAAGAGCAGGGCCCCTGGCTGATAAGGCTTCCTGCTCAGAGCTTGGCACCACAAGGGCAAGTCTCAGGTGGTTGATGAATTGGGAGTTGGCTACCTAAGGACCTAATATGTTCAGTGCCCCTTTATGTCCGGGTATGTCTGAATGTGAGCTGCTATCAGCCTGGCCTGTGTGCTTATGAAGGCAAATTTATCAAGCTTAGTCTACCCTGCCTGTTACCCAGAGGCAGTTTCTTAGGAAGCCATGTTTATCATCACATGACCCTCTGCTGATTCAGCTCCTTCCTGACACAGAGGAAACCTGCAGACTTAACTAATACCCAGGTGTCAAGGACTAGTACTTTAGATAAACTTGCATTCTAAAGGGAGGATATGTTTGTTCCTTTGTTTAGTCTTTTCTAAATTTT